CTTGGTTTTATGTTTCTAAATTTTCATTCTTTTTACTATTAAAATAATAAAAAAAAAGAACAAAAACCTTCTATTCTCTTTAAAAGAATTTGATAGTAGGCCTTTTCTTTTTTGAATACTTCTTATCAGTTCCATATTTCTCACCCAAATTAATTTTCAGAAAAAGAATAACACAATCCCTTATTATTCCATTGCCTTTTTTTTTTTTTTCCAAAAAATCCCTTACTATTTTTTTTTCCTGCCGTGTCCCGTGGTTAACGTCTTACTGTTGTTTATGGATCTGATGAAACTCCACGTGAGCACATGGCAAGTTTTAGGAGAGGACAAGAATATTTAGACAAAGGCCCACATTGTACCAAAAAAAAAAAAAGAAGACAAAGGCCCACATGCAAAAGAATTGGCTTGACTTTCTTTTTAAGTCTTTCGTTCGTTCCCCTTTATTGCTAGATAGCTAGCTACCAACATATCTCTAGATATTTTAGCTTGGTGAAAAATTTTTTTTTTTTGAACGAGTCGTGAAGAGATGAGCTTGAAACTTGTTTACGAAGAGGAAGAATGTATTTTAAATTGATAGAATGTCAATTGATCGAAAGAATCAGGTGTTAATTTGATAAAATTAAAGGTTTAAAATACTTAAAAAGAAATGATAATCTATAAAATCTAACATATAGGGGGCTAAACTATGTTTACTGTATGGGAAATTTTATTGGTGACAAGTATATGATTGTTATTATTCATTTAAATATCTTTCTTATAAAGTACAAAATGCACTATAAATTATTTAATTATTATATTTGATCTACTTGTCAGAAAATTCTTTAATTCTAAAAGAATAATTCTTTAAGTTCACATTGAAACTTCTCAATTGAAGATAAGCTCAAATGAGAGAGAGATGCAAGATTACAATTCTAATTATATGGATTAATTATTTTAATTAATTTTTAATTATATAATAATTATTTGTAACAATTACTGTTGTAAAAGTTGTATATAGGTTAGAGTTCCGTCTTGTATTTTTATAATGGTAAATTTTTTTTTTTTTATCATTCTTAAAGAAATTTCTATACATCAACGCAAATTTAACAAAGTTAATATTTATTAATTAAAAAATCTTAATTTGGTGTGCTAAGCAGTTAATTTATTAAAAAAAACAGTAAATATATTTAAGTAGAATACTTCAAAAAATAAATTAAAATGAGATAATGGTATTACTAAATGATATATTAAATCTTTTTAAAATAAAAAGAAAATTAATAGCTTATTTGATGAGGATGAAATCTATTGAAATAATGCCTGCCTACAACTATACAAATCATGCTTTATATATATAAGCAATGACGTTTCCGATTAAGTTTTCCTGATCGACATTATCAATTGTAGAAAACACTTATTTTTACCAATTTTAGAAAACCCTCATTTTTCACTTTATAAATGTTATTTATATCAAAGTTCTGAAAAGTTTAGGCAAGTATGATCAGAACGAGAAAGAGAGACAGACGTAGAGAACTTACTTGAATGAAGGAGGATTAGATGGCCACTCAGGCACATACTTGTCCAAAGGATAGCAATGGAACCTTAAATAATCTCTCCAGTTGTGAACCTGCTCCTTGTTAATATTAAAGCTAGTTGAAAGCCTCATTGTCTTGGACGGATCATCCGAATACAGCTTCAGCTTTTCCTCCACCGGTAGCCTGAAGAAATCACCGGCCACCCTTGACATCTTCTCCACTGCCTCCTCTGAAACCCCATGATTTATCACCTGCCAAGAACATCATATATCCACAAAAAAGTACCAAAAAAAACTTTTATAGAAAGCATAAGCATAAAAAAATGAGTTTTTTGTTTTACTATTCAGATCACATCATATTACAAAATTAGAGTGCGAGAAAGGAGGGTTCAATAGGAAGGGGTGCTTTAGTCACTATTTTACCATTTAATATAATTTAAATTATAAAATAATTTTTAAATATATCTATATATATATAAAATTTGCCAGCTGGCAATAGCTAAGGACATATTAAGATTTTAGATAGTTTTAAGTTAAAATCTTAATTATATTAATTTTAACGTCTCTTTACCTGAAAAAAGCCATAGTTTGTGCAGGCATCACCAATTTGTTGAACAACATGGGCTCGGTCGTCGGAGCCGAGGTCTATGACTGGAACATCATCGCAGGCAGAGACTTCGGATAGCCGGGGACGTTCAGATTCGGGCCTGACATAACTTGCCGGCAAGCTGGAGTACCGGATTCCAGAGGAAATGACTTTGGATTCCATTAATTATTTATTCACTCACAGAAAACAGACCCGTGAGTGACAGCTAAATTAATCAGTGGGAAGAAGAAGATAATGAGCATCAAAATTTAAATACTTCTCATACATAGATACATACATATATAGCCAAACCCTTCCCCCCCCCATTGACTTGTAGCTTTAAGTCAACCATCCAATGGGTCCTCGACACTTGTCCCCACTCGATGGAATTCAGTATGGCCTTTGATGCTGATGGGATATACTCTACATATTCATCTCAACGCTCTGGAAATGAAATATATGACATTATATTCCTATGGATCTATTATATGACATTAAATTTAAACAATCTTTCATTGTCTATGATTCATTTTATATTACAAAATTCATTTGTACAATGACTTTGCTTCTTACAAAGAAATGCAATCTCTAAGCAGAAATCGAAGTCCTAACAGGTAAGAGTTGGT